AATTTAGGCTTCAATGATTTTAAGGATCGCATAATTACGATTCTTAAAGATCGCTTTCTATTGGGCAGGGTAAATTTGCTTCATTGGCCTCATTTTCATCCAGGAATGGCAGTGTTCGAGACAAACGTTTAGTTTTACTTTTTTTTTGGTGTAAATTCAACCATAGCAATGTAAAATTCTGTATGCAAGAAGGGCTAGAAATATGTGTGTGTGTGTGTGTGAAAAATGGAAAGGAAAATGAGGAGGAAGGAAAAGAGGTTATTTCATTAAACAGAACATATATAATTTAAAATGTAACATTGTAAGGGAAATCAGTATAGTCGTGAACGGAGCCCTTCCTCCAAAAGTTGCCCTGGACCAGGAGGGAATCGAACCATACCCCTTCACGCACGGACACAATGTGTTGCCACTACACCAGCGGCTCTTGTACCCCACGTTCAGCCTGGCAGCACATCTACTGTGTATCCGCTTTTCAAATCAAGATACACCTCTTTTCTTGCCTTTTTCTTTGAGGCGCCCTTTTGGATGGCTTTTCATAGGTTTTCCGCGATAAGCAGTACAGATTTCATCTAATTTTTCAGCAATTTTGTATTTTTGTAAATGTCATAATATCCCTAAAAAGAATGTGGGGAATCTGGACGATATTTCTGATGCTGTTCATCAATCTTTGATGTTTGCAGTAGACCATTTAGGAGCAGAAGGGGGTTGCCTCCCAGTAACGTCAAAGGCTCTTCAGCAGCAGTAACACCAGTGATCTTTGGAGACTTTTCAGGTGCTGAACGAAAGATTACTGATTCCACGATGGATAACAACAGAAAGATGCTTGCAGCATTATATTAATCGTGGTGATATATGTATCGTGCCGGCTTTCAGAGGCGAAGTGTACAAATATTTGCTTTCTCGACAGTGCAGGTAATCTCAGGCAATTTTCTGTAGTTCAAATAAATTTCGACGTTTTCGTGATAGTCACGTGGCCCATACAGCGTGTCTTGAACGGAGCCCTTTTTCGAAAATTGTTCGGGACCGGGAGGGAGTCGAATTATTCCTCTTTATATCCGGCGCAGTGGGTGAGGCATTGAGCTGACGAGCCCTTCAAGGGACGAAGAGAACGCCAGGATCACCAGAAGGCTGACCACCAGGCGCTGCTGCCTTGGTCAAAGCAACTATGGAAAAAAAGTTGAAAAGAAATGGCCCTCAGTCCTGCGCAGCTCCCTGTCGCCTTCACAGTGACGGTGGTGG